AAAAAAAAAAAAAAAAAAAAAAAAAAGCATAAAATTAAGAAAAAAAATTGAAAAAATATACAAAAAATGTCATTTCAAATTGAAGGATTGTATGAGTTCAAAACATCAAAATGATTAAGTCCTATTGTTGCCTATGAAAAGAGGAAAAATGAGATTCAACCATCAAATTTGGACAATGAATCGCCAGAAATTGTCGGTTGAAGTATTCGTTCCGGAGCAGTGCGCGACCAAAAATATGAAAACTTCGTAGGAATTTTTCAACTACTTAAATGTCGATCGAGATCGAAAGATACTGTTGAATTCTTTATGAAAAGAATTTTCTATACATATGTTTCACAAAAGTCCAACGGTCCCAGTGACATTCCAAAACAATTTACTATTCAGTTCTTTGATTTTTTTTAGAAACATCAATAATGATTTAATAAAGTTTGAGGTATCGTATGATAAAACTAAACATGACGTTGGATAGATCGAGTCCAGTGCTTCAAAATGTTATATGATTTGTTAGAAAGTCAATATTGGTAGACGAGCGATGAACAATGACTAATTGTAGTTTTCAATTCCAATACAATTCCAATTTAACTACCTTGTTTTTTTTTTATAATTTTATTAAACACAAGAGCTAGAAATTAAATACAGTATAGCCTTTTAATGAAATAAATTAAGTTACAACATACAAAAAATGTCATCTTAAATTGAAGGCTTGTATGAGTTCAACACATTAAAATAATTAAGTCCTATTGTTGCCCATGAAAGAGGAACAAAATGAGGATTCAACCATCAAATTTGGACAACTGAAACGCCGCAAATTGTCGGTTGAAGTATTTGTCCCGCAATCGCACACGGTTTGAAATATAGAAACTTCGTAGGCATTTTTTGACTACTTAAATGTTGATCGAGATCGGGAGATACTATTGAATTCCTTATAAAAAGAGTTTCCTATACATATATGTCTCAGAAAAGTCCAATGGTCGGATCTCCACTGACATTCCAAAACAATTCACTACTCAGCTCTTTGATTTTTTTGGAAACATGAATAATGATTTAACAAAGTTTGTAGTATCGTATGATAAAACTAAACATGTCGTCGGACAGATCGAGTCGAGTGCTTCAAAATGGTATGTGATTGATTGAAAGTCAATACTGGTAGATGAGCGACGAACAACAGCTAATTGTAGTTGCCAACAACGACGGGTAATGACGAGTGTCGGATCTTCAATCCTAATACAGTTTCAGTTTAACTACCTTATCTTTTAGTTACTTTTATTACATACAAGAGTTAGAATTAAATACAATATAATCTTTTAATGAAATAAATTAAGTTATAATTTAAATTTCAAATAAAAAATTTAAAAAATATTTTTATTTATTATTCATATTTTATTTAGATATATTAAATACTTATATAAAAATAAAACTCACAAAAAATACATTTATAAATAGTTTAGAAAAATCTTATTAAATTTTATATAATCATATATATTATATATTTATTAATAAATTGAATTATATAATAAAAAAAGTATATTTGACCACATATGCTTATAGGAGCTTATATAATGATATATTTGTATTAGTTAATATGTATATAAATGCATAATTCACTTGTTTATTATATAATATGGATATAAAATACAAAAAATGTATTCATTAAAATATAGTATATTTTTTAAAAAAAAATAATATTAGTATTATCATAAATAATAAAATACCATTAATGTAAATATTATTTTTTCTATAAAATAGTTATAAATGATATTGTAATTTCATTCTGGTCATATTACTTCTGCATACCAAACGGATCAATGACAAAACATGTTTCATTCATTTTCCATAATCATTCCATTTTTCAACTCATTTCATTTCAACCAAATTTCATTTCATTATACCAATCTTGCCATTAGGGTATGAGATTAGGATTTGCTAACAGAGGTTTCTATTCTTTACTTATTATTTTTACAAAAATCTTAACCAACTTTATTTTCTCTTTGTTACTCAAAATTTTTACTTCGTGAATTTTGGTATTTTTGGTTAATACTTTTCATCCATACCCTTAACTCACCTAACGGAGCCCTCGAGATTAAAATTTTTAATTATTTAAAAATCAAATTTAATATTAAAAAATCCTAATAACTGTTTAATGATTTAATAAAATATTATAATATTATATTCAAAATTAAATTTACATTCTTCTCCGGCCTCGCGTTGAATCTCTCGATTCAATATGCAAATATTTATTGGACTCATTTGTGTGATAGCGAATTGATGCTAAATTAGCGGATTCGACTTAATAGAGTACTTGTTTCGTACTCTAAGTCGGAATATGTGTAATCTTCGAAGAAAATAGTCAATACAATTGTCAAGCTCATCATCTGGTAGCCTTGACCGCTTCGATCCTCATTCAATTGATTGAAGTTCTTCATCCTCAATTTCTAAGAGCCTATTTTTCTCCCATGGTCGTTGACCTTACATCTTTTCTGAGAGCCTTTTTAATTTCATCGGAAATTAAATGTTAAACTAATACAATACTCGTGTATTATACAAGTGTTTGAACTAAAAAGCATAAGTAAAAGATATTAAAACTTTTATAACAAAAGATTTCCTTACACTTAAAATAACTAAATATCAATATCAACAACAACAACAACAACAACAACAACATACTCAGTATATTCCCAACGGGTTGGGGTCTGAGAGTCAGTTGTACGCAGACCTTACCCTTGTAATTATACAAATAGGTTGTTTCTGTACCCAAAGTACATTGCGTCATTTGGTATATATATATTTTTTTTTTTTCTAGAGACTTCACTAATAGAAGAAGCACTAGAATTTAATTGAGTAATTTTAAGCAATGTAAGAATATATCATTGGCATTATAATAACTAAATATATAAAATTAAATTTCTGGAACTCCCTCGTTCGCGACCGGAGGCTTCCTAACGTTCGGTGAAGCAACTATTTTAGCCGGAGAAGAATGACGACTTCCATGGCTGGTGGTCTATGAGGTTCAATTTAGGAGAAAAGGACGTCTGGTGAACTGAGGTACTATTGAGTTTAGCTTCTCGTAGAAAATTGTAAAAGAAAATAATGTCTCAAAATAAATTACACAGTTCATAAATTTTAGACCTATTTAAATGTTTTAATAGCTATGCTTTCTTGTAATACGGAGATGCTTCGAATCTACAACCTTAACTAGAATTTTGTTTTCCCCGACCAATCTCGCGATTCAGAACAAGAGAAACATAATGTTTAGAGTCTGGAAAAAAAAAAAGGAAAAAAGAAGAAGGAAGAAGTAGAAATCATCTGTCGACTCGAAGGATGTTGTTATGTGCACCATGCCAGTTGATGGACTCTCTTTGAGGATCAATTTTCCAATGACCATCCACGATAAACTTTATCTGCAACATAATGTGAAAAATGTCAATGCCATAGTTATAATGCACAATTTTACTTCAATTTAGACATAATTGATGTATATACAAAAAAAAATTATACCACAAGTTTTTGCTCAACAATTAGAAAACACTTCGGCTATATTTGGTAAACCTAGCTACTAGTTGATAGTTTATAAGTGAATTTTGAACTTATAGCTGATAGCTTATGACTGATGCTAAAAAACTAGCTTATCATAAATGTGTTTGAAAATTAGCTGATAAGCTAGCTTAAATAAAATTTGAACAGACTAATTTGAAAAGCTATCCAAGAAGTTTACAAGATAAGCTAGAGCTTTTTAAAAAAGCTCGACATACCAAATCACGTTTATTTGAATATATGAAGCTTATATACTAACCATATAGCTTATAGTGTTTATCAAACACACTCCTGGTTTTCAAAGGAATTGCACTAATCACCTTCCTAAGGATCGTACTTGTTTAACACAGAATTTAGTTTCATTTGATATACATATTTTTTGTAACACTGAGGTCTACTTTCTGAAATAGAAACATGCGTTCGCACCTCATAAGCCCCAGGATAAAGCCACAAAACAGCTCGCCAAAGTCGAGATGACCTGACATATTTTACTAGGACTATTGACTTCCAGTTCCCATTGAATGAAGAATGTCACAAAAAAAAAGGTAAAAAAATTCGTAAGAGTAATAGAGGAGTGATGAAAAAAACCTGGATCCAGTCGAGTGGGTGTCACTTGATGATGGCTGTAAACCCATTTCTATCGTATGATCCCAGCCATTAAAGCTACCAGCTAGCTCCACAGTCTCCCCTTCACCCGAGTAATCAATCTCCACCTAACAAAGGAAATACAAAAACACGAGTCGATAAACTATTATGCAATTTTGTATTTCATGATTGTTAGTCTTTGCGTAGATGAAAAAGTGGAAAAAAGAGAATATCTGAACCTCCTTTAGTCCAGATAAGGTTTCCTCGGCAGCATGTAATTCGGTCTCTTTTTGAGAATTAAGTTCTTGTGCTTTGCTTATCTCTGTTTCAGCTTTAGATTGCAAGAGAGATAAAGACAGCTGCAAAGGTTGAAAATTGAAATGAAATCAAAGAATTCACTAGAAAAAAAAAAAAAAAAAGGAAAAGGACTTTTTCGTGTTGCGCTATTTATTCAAGTTACCTTTTCCTTCTCAATCTGCTCTTTCAACTGGGTTAGTTCCAATTCCTTCTGATGCTACACACAAAAACAAAATACAAAATTATTTGTTATTTAAAAAAAAAAAAGTAGAAGAAGCAAGTCGAAAGGCATCAGATAGCAAATCCTGGTAACAACAATAGTATTACCAGCAAGAATTTGAGACGTCTAATTTCATCCCGATTCTCCACTTTCTGTAATGGAACAGATGCCAGATCAACCATAAGAAACTCGGGATAAATTTACGTTATATCTCTATACTTACATCCATACAGAGAGAGAGAGAGAGAGAGAAAGAGAGAGAGAGAGAGAGAGAGAGAGAGAGAGATGCCTAAACTGACCGATTCATGATAAACTGACCTCATCATTTAAATTATTATCACCATCAATACTTGTTTGTTCTTGACTAGACATGTTGCTTATCCTGAAACATGACCCAAATACATTAATGCGAATGTGAGAAATAAAGTTGTGACAAAATAGAAACGGAGCAACTTCCGAAATTTAAAGTACAATGGTCGTGAGTTTAGAAAGCCCAAGCAGGAGATCCATATGAAAAAGGTAGCAGCAAAAGAAGATATGACAAGTGGCACGAAAACCAAAGGTTCAAGAAAAATAGGAAGGAAAAAAAAAAAGGAAAGAAAAAAAGAAAGAAACTGACCTGAAGTTATCAATCTCCAAACCTGGATTTTCAATATGCTGGACTGATGATGAAGAGACACTTCCATTTGGCATTTGACTGAATGCATATTCCGGAATTCGAGAATCTTTCGATTTAATATTCTCCCCATTTTCTACTTCATTTATAATATCCAATCCATCACCTGAGAAAGAAATTAGCCAATCTCAGATGTCATGAACCAAATGCATAATTGGAAAAAGAAAACGGTTAGCATTATGAAATGGTGAAAAAAGAAAATACCAACATTTGGAAAATAAAAGTTGCTACTCGAAGAATCAAAATGGAAAGGTAAAAAAAGAAGTAGAAGTTGATCGGGACTTGCCTTCAATTGCATCCAGTTCCCCATGCTGAATGAACTTAGCCACCTTTTCCTGCAAAGAAAGAGCATTTGACTCTGACTTGAGCTCTTCCTTTGTTTCTATGCAACTATGCAAGCCTTCCACTTGGATGCTCCCGTTTGACGATAAATCAATGAAAACTTCCTGCTTCACATTCTGACCTTTTCAGACAACACGAGACAATCAAGAAAGATAAAGAAAATGCAATGTCTTTACATGTGTAAAAAGTACATAATTTCTACCCAGGATAATCTGATCTGACCTGTGTCTATATTGGATTCAACGACTTTTTCTGTTGCTGAGGTTGAAAGGAGATTTCTAATGAACTTGTACCCTCTGCGCCTGACTACATTTGCAAGGTCTTGCCTACAAATTTGTAAAATTAAGATATTAAAGAAAACTAAAATTGTATAATTTGTGTCCCTTAACAAATAAGCTAGTTCTACCATATTATTCAATAATAATCCACATATTTGAATCTAATGAAAAACATAAATATAATGCCGTTTAGAAGCGCACTTAAAAGGAAATAATTTCAAACTTTTAATAGAAATAACGGGAACTACTAAGACATCCTTTTCTAACTTGCTGTCAATATTTGAAGCTAAGGTAAGGGATTCATTTGAAACACATAAGAGTTTTCCATAACTTTGAATCATCGATATACAACATATAAGTAAAACAGTTTATTACTTTGACTTTACTTATATACTCCTAGTGACCTGAAAATTTGCCCAATTCAAATTTCATCAAGTGCTGTAATATCAGTAGCAAGAGAATTCATGTTTCGGCATGAAACACGGGTTCTGAATTTCACGAAACCATCGTTCAGCAACTACAGGGACAAACTGTCATTCGCATGAATTCAACCTACTATAGCAGTTGTTCATCAATACCACAAATAAGCTTAAATGCTTTTCATTCGATGCACATAAAAATGACCACATAAATAGGCAGAACATAGGAAAGAAAAACCAATCAACTAATGCTTTCATCAGCACCAGCAGCATATTAAGAACGCCCGGTCATTACTATTCGACACAAGCATCGTGAAGAGGAAAGTGATCAGCATACTAGAACCCTGTAACAGGCTATTTCACCAATACAACAATATAGCACACATGAAATGGAATTGAATAGGATAAAAAACGACATAAAGCTCAAACCTTCCATGGCCCGAAAGCTCCTTCGTGGTAGGCACGTGATTTTCCGGAAGTCCGGCACTGGACAAGAACTCCCTAATATCCTTGCAAAGATCCACATCACCCCTTACCTTCCTACTACCTCTGCAAACAAATAAACCCAACACAAAACCCATAAAACCTTCAATCCAATAACAAA